TTCGTTTTCAATTCTTGGAAAAACGAATTTTGGCACGAACGACGATGAATCAGCCAAAAGCTCAGGCATAATTCTGACATGTTAGGGAAACATTTTCAAAAACTAAACGTAGCTTTCGACGGTGCCGTTGACTCGACATTAACAAGCCGTCTCCAGGACAGCCAACTTGAAAATAGACCTTCATAAAAGGAGGTTACTCTATTTGCTACGAGAATTTTTACGTTTGAAAAAGTAAGCATTGGGTCTAAGCCCCCCTTTTAGCCTAGGTCTATATACACCAGATGTTACATACCTATTCCTTGGCGATTGCCACTCATTGTAAATCTTCGGGTGTTGTCCGAAACGTTAGTCAGAAAGGCTTCAAAAGAACAACTATTTATTAACAACCAGTTAGCAAATAGACTAAAAGTACTGTTAAGTGCGCTTGCCTCTCCAATTTGATTGCTTTTCCGTCTCCTATGTGCTCCCTGCAAGAACTGATAACATTTTGTGCGTAATGACGGTCTTTTAAATATTTGCCAAAAGAAAAAAAAATAACCAGACAAATTTCTTTTATTTTAAGTCCTACGTGGGACTTTAGACTTTGCAATGATTAAAGACTTACAAATTTTGCGGAAAATGCTTTACGCGCTTTGATTATCCTATCCTCTGGCTTGTCTTTGATTTTGGTTGGTCTTGCTCAGGGTTTGTGCAAACTCGCACGGAATCAGTCATGGTTAATGATTAAGGCGTCGTCTCATGACTCTGTTCAAAGCAGCAAAACAAAGTTATAATAGATATTTTCTGATGTTAAATATCATAAATGATAGTATGACCAGCGAATGAAATGCTCATTGAGAAATGATTCTTGCACGTGGACTGCGATTACAGAACTCGACGGAATTCAGACTCGGTACTAAGATCCAAGCTAAGAAGCCAGATGTTGGGAGAGACCAGCACTAGGCTGCATAGCAAATATTTTACAGCAGTCATTACATGATAAGTCAGTGGCCCAAAAATGACAGATTTCCTTTCGTCAGTTGCACGAATAATGTCATGCAACATATTGATAAATTGTCCCTTCCAGTACGGTACGTTATTGAAGTAAACAATACCTTGTAGTTTTCTTCACGTCCCTAATGTTTAAAAACAGAATAAATTAGGCGATGCAGGTTTCATCTCCGTATAATTCATACGATATTATTAAGTAAGATAGTAAGTAGTCCAGGATTCAGAAATATTTTGGTACTTCCGACAGCAAGTGGAATAATTTTGGAATTGCAGCATTTTCAAATCGTGTTTCACAAAGTATGCACCAAAATAATGAAAAGAACGTTAGATAGAATCAACATCACTATGGCCGCAAATTAAATTTTACACTTTGTGTCTGGTCGCGAGGAAAACAGTTTACGATGATATTTTCCCAGCAGATTCGATGCAAATTCTAGAAAGGTCACTTAATCAGTAATAAGCCAATCACAAACGTAGTAAACGAAGGGGATATGGAAGATTCGGGTGAATTTTACATTACTGTCACCTCCAAGCCGTGAGAACACGCGAAAATCACTATCTTCTAAAAAATGTAGTGTTATTTATCTTACGGAAAGTTCTAAGAAAGTCCAGCGGTCGAATTTTCATCTCAGTCGTGGGAGCACTACCTTTGGCAGAGAAGAACTAATTCTCTCCCCAGTAAATATCGGCCCAAGTTTCATTTCCTCAACGTGGAAAAATACTTTTGAGATTTGAACGAACAGCTCAGTTACTACCGATGCTATACCACCAGCCTCCGCCTCCTTTTTTTAGCACAATTGGCAGGATCTCTGTCCCAAGTACCAAAAATGAGATCTCTGTGAGGAATGAGGGAATCAAAGAGAACAGTCACGTCTGTTCCACGATATAATGAAGATATCCAAGATATTGAAAAATTGAACTATGAACTGGACTTAAAAATTATCAATCTAAGGCCTGTTCCAAACGTCGTGCTACTGCCGTGCCGAACTCAAATGAATTTGGCTCGGCAGTGGCACGACGATAGCACGGCAGCGGTTTCAAACGTCGAACCTAATGCAGTCGCGCCAAATTCAAAAGACAAAACAAACCATCCATCCAGCGGTATCGCCCCATCCAAAATGGCGGAGGGAAACCTTAACGAAGAGCGCGAGAAGTTTGTTTTGTTTAAGACAATTTTAAATGCCAGAAGGCAACGCAGGCGAATGCAACAGTCCATATTGAATACTGTTATTGCAAGGAGAGGATTACTTTTGAAAGTTTTTCATTTATTCTTCTTCTGGTTTCCCTTGACGAGAGCCAGCAAGTTACTGTATTACGATCGTGCCGGCGTTTCCAAACCCTAACCCTAATCCTAACCCTAAGCAATTTATTGTCACCGTCGGATTCCTCTTCTCTCAAGCTTTCGGGCAAAACGGGTAGATTTGTCTTTTTTTATTAGTGCGCATGCGTCATAGTATGCAAATAATGCAAAATCCGTTAAATTAATTTATGAATTGAGTTCGGCGCGACAGTAGCACAACGTTTGAAACCAAGTCGTGCTACTGCCGTGCGGCACGGCAAGGCCTGCCGCGCTAAGTAGTCGTGCCGAACCTAATTCAGCCGTGCCGCGCTTAATGGTTTCAAACGGCGTGCTACTGCCGTGCTTAAATCGAAATTACTATTTCATTTGAGTTCGGCACGGCAGTAGCACGACGTTTGGAACAGGCCTAAGAGACCAAACAAGTCAATCTGGTAGAATTTTTAACAAGACGTTCTTTCAGATATTCTGAGGGTTCCAAATATAAAAATTCTGTTGATTTTTGAATTTAAGTAATGTTCGAGCTTGGGTATCCTTTATCAGATCACTATAGAAGTATAACACGTGCATTGAGGCTACAAACACGATATTAAAAGGCTCCACCCAAAAAGTTATTCAACTAGTAGAACTATGTTTACATAGCTTCACCTCATAGTTACCTTTGCTAAGAACTCAAGTGGCTTATCACCATTTTGTGTGGCAAGAAAACAAACGGTTCTTCCTTTTTTCTTTTACCAGGCATCCGCTGTAAACATTTTTTTCCCGGATTAAGAAATACTGTGTCCCCTGAAGACTTTTTGGGAGCAAAACAAAAATGTCCAAATACCTTTGTTGCCCAATACCTCAAAAACATATCAACAATCGAAAATTAATATTACCTGGGCAAAGAATGGTCTGAAAGTGCGAAGCCCCACTTAAGTCAGCAAATTCAGTTTCACTTTACAGCCTTAATTCGTAACGCTTTTGGGAATCGTTGAAGTGTTCACTCGAAAGTTATTTTCGTCGCTTTCTATAGCTTTAAAAATCGAGTATCTTTCCGTTAATTTGCTTTTCGTTTAGAGCTCTTAGAGGTCCATCTCAATCGGGATGAAACGGAAAAAAGACATCTTAAAAATCTTCAAACCACGAGGCATTTGTTTGCTGACGCGTCATACATGTGCACAATAGGATTTTGACGCACGCTCGCGCAATTGAAATCATTAGCTGTGTCGTAATATTCCTTGTTTTTTTTTTTTTTTTTTTTCAGAGGACACGGTATCCTGCAATCTGATTGGTTCTTTACCCGGTCAGTGTTTTCCTATCTCTGCCCATGGGCCACGGAAACACTTTTGTGAGTCGCCGAGTACATCCCTACTTTCGTTGCCATTTTTCATAAATATATCTCGTTTTTCCGGCTGGCCAGTATTTTTAAGCAAAGACGTTAGTCACAACCTCAAGCCGATAAATTTCTTTTTAATTTCACTTCTTAAATAGACAAATGCTACGGAATAGAGAATGATAACAGTATCAAACTGAAAATGACAACTTTTTTTAAACTGGATGTCAGTAAAAGGTTATAAAATGCATATTTTGATTGCAAAGATATTTTTGATCTTCCTTCTTTCAAGGCGAAGGAAGTCGGTAAACAGAAACATGACCAAATGCCATTCCGTCGAATTGATCGGGTATCAAAAGCAGCTCTTGCAATTAGGGACCTTAAGCAAACCATGACGATGACGGAGACGAGAACAAAAACAAAAGATCTAATTGGCAGAAAAATAGCTCAGCACGTGCGTTTTAAAACTTTTTACATTTCTCAGCCGTCGTATGCAAAACAACAACGTGAAATCATCACAATTTGCGCCGTCTGCGAACCGAAACCGCGACGGCAAATTTTTTTAAATTTCCATTTGGAATTCAACGCTTCGTTTATACGTTATGCTCAAGTTGAGGTGTGGCGACGTATGAGACGGTAAACACATGCAGTCATTTTTTAAATTCTAATTAAAGGCAGAAATTAATTTTTTAATCGAAGTCTTCCTTGGCGTTGCCGTCCTGACTGCTTAAAGTCCCTAATCTTTCGTGCTCTCCTAACTTCTCGCGTGCTTCTTCGATGAACGTATGCTGACATATGAACCAACTGTTCATTTTCATCGAAAAAAATAAGATGAACTCAAGATTAACAATGTTTGGAAATGTAATGAAAACTTTCCTGAAAAGTAAAACCGCTCATTACAACGAGATTGATATATCCAGGTTTGAAGACACAGCTTGCGCAGGTCGGAAAATTTCTGAGACAAACTTCTAACGTAATTAAATTAGTCCATCATCATGCAGTCCATCAAGAATACGTATTATCAGGAGCCGATATGTATTTCTCTACAAAGGCACGACCAAACAATTTTTGTGGAAATTTCCAGTCCGATATAATCTAATTTTTCAGCTGAAACAATCGGGTTGAATAAGCAACACTAAGCCGTCACTTTAAAGAGCTTGCATAGTACACAAGCGCACGCGACTTCAACAGTAGTCCTTTCAGAGTTAAAAGAAATTGCATCTTTCTTCTCAATTACTGAATCAACTTTCATGGAACTTGAGAACGGAACGTGGATGTCTTTCGGGAAAAAATTCGTACGTGCGCTAGTTCGTTAAAATCTCAGGAAACTATACATCAGAAGAAAGCTTGATAAATTTAGTTAACGATAAAATTATAAAATAAGCGACTTTTCCTTTTAGGAAGTGTCAGGAGCCTGTGAGGCCTGAAACGACCAAGGGTTCTTCTATTGAATTTATGGTTTATCTGACGCCGCAGCACAAGAAAAATGGCAGCACAGCCGTAATCACAAGGTATCAATCAACAAAATTGTGTAGGGCTTTTTTAATATTCTGATTGGTTGTCTAGATATCGACATGTAAAGTTGGAGCGTCGAAGCGTGTTGCGTAAATGGGCGCCACAGGACAAATATTTTACATAAAATGATTTCGAACGTAAATGAAATGATTTCGTTTATCATTATTACTGGAATGTTTTGGTGAAATTTGACGAAAATGGATCGAATATAAATTCCCCATAAATTCGCTAAAAGTGGATGTATTCTTGCCAAAATGAAAGGCAGGATTTCAGCTTATAAAGATTTACTAACAAATCGCGCCACGCCAGGAGATTATTATGCCCCTGACTAAATACGTGGTAGTTAGAAACTGTTCGCAGAGTTTTCAGCAAGACGTTCTTTCAAATATTCTGAGGGTACCAAATAAAAAATTCTGTTGATTTTTGAAGCTAAGGAATGTGCAATCTTGGGTGTCCTTTATCAGATCACGTGCATTGACGCTACAAACACGATATCCAAAGGCTCCACCCTCTTCCTAGCAATAAACATACGAAATGGCGACCTTTGTTGCTAAGAATAGTGGTGGGGTGAAAAAGAAGCCAATGATAATCTTAAAAGAGTTTTTTTTTTCGTTTTAGTTTCAACAAGCGGCGCCAGCGACTGGCAGGCATGCAAGGATTCACACTGAAATAACAGAACAACCTTCGTTTTTTCATAAAATTGAAATTTACAAGATTCATTGAAAATATCACTTACTGCGAAGCGCTCGGAGTTTATAGATGTTCAAAAGCTTTTTCTGTTATAGCGTGAGATTGAGGACAAAATTGATCATTACGTTTCGTCGCGTGTGTTTTTCCTGTGTGAAGCAACAAAAGATGCCGGCGACTGACGAAATAACAAGTTAACACGAAAATCAAATAACACCTAAACAAACAATTTTAGCTACCGATTTTCAGTGAATTTTTAAAGAACAATTTTCTTTAAAGTTTCAAGACAATTTGAAGATTCAACATACATACAACGTACTAAAATGCGAAAGTTACACACCACAAAAATTGATAAATAGGCCTGAAATGAAATTCTATCTTGTTATTGATTATACGTTGCCTAGCACGTGACTTAAATCTACCCAGGCGGAGATCCAAAATGACGGTGGCAGGCTTGGCTTAGTTATATCACTCAAAACTCGTTCCCGTTTGTCTCATTTGATAAAGAGGGAATCGTTAAAGTTTTCATTAAGACAGTATTGCCTTGATTTTCTAATATTTACAACGAAAGACAGTAAATTTCGCTTTTCAACCACATTTACTTCCAACCTTTTCTTTTGAACCAGAAACAAAAATGATAGATGTTTAAAACACATGACATCATCCACCTTGTCAAATGTAATAGCATGATCATTTCAATTGTAATGCCTTCTTATCCCAACGTTACTTTGTTTCTTTGCTACATTAGCGAACACTGAACTACTGCTCGTACTCTAAATATGACAATCAACCACAAAATTCCCTAAACCAGATAACATTAAACATAATCAATTCAATGTGTCAATTCACGAGTTTGCTCACAGAGCACTTTGATTCACATTTGAAAACGAGAACAAATTGGACCGCTTTTAAAAAAGTTGTCATTTTCAATTTGACACTGTTATCATTCTCTATTCCGTAGCATTTGTCTCTTTAAGAAGTGCGTATACAACAGATATGTATAGTCCGATAGTCGAGGAACATCATTTTTCTAATAGTGGTTTTTATCCGCATTAAAGACTGCATGCACGATAAGAAAGTAATTAGAATAATGTATATAGTGTAATAAAATTTCTTGGGTCAGCAATAATGCAATAATGTATACGACAGGTATATCTCAGTAGCTGTATCGTATCAGAAAGCGTACATTTTCAAATAAGTTAGCATCTCGTTTCCGATGATATGCGTTAAAAATGTGGCACGTTCACTGAGGCCACAAATGTGATGTTGGACGTAGATGACACATCTATAGATCGATCAATTAAATGATTGATGGTGTGATTGCTTGGCCTTCAGACTGTTACTGCAGTCAATTGCATTTCATTCCCTGCTCAATAACAATATGATTACTTACGGCATATATAGTGACAAGATGTTCCTTCTTGCTTTATCAAATCTGATTTAAAATCGAATGACGAAGCTTAAAGTTTCTTTAAGGTTTCTTTAAAACCAAATACGAGATCCTCAAAGAGCTTTTGGCATCTGCTTAATGGCGGATTGGTGAAGGCGTTCTGTTTAAGTAATTTACAGATTGTAAATCGTAATAACTGACAATTGCATTTTACAATTGGGTGAGTCAAAATGAATTGTGTAAAAAGATCTCTGGTCGTGACTTTACGACTCCGGATAAATTAAACTTAGTTATGTTGGATAATTTTAGAGGGGCACGTACGCAAATAAAACAATTTGTAGTTATGACGAGAGATACAAATACATTTGCATGGTTAATAGTAAGGACACTCTTTTAGAACGGCAGGCCGTTGGATAAGTTTAAGGTGAAAAGTTTCGAGATCGTGAAACGCAGAATTAATATATTTTTTCCTTTGGGGGGATTACAGAAGAGAATCTCAATGGGATGGTGGCTTTCATTGCTAAAGCTTAAAATTTTGACCTTTTTACAGCTAAAGGCCATTAGTTTAAAACATTTACTTGTCTGCTTTTACTATTAGAGTCAATCGTCAAGAATAATCCAGATCGAGCTGCTGTTGAGTTGATAAAGAACAATACGCCTAACGGGTGACTTTTTTAGCCGTTTTACAGCCAACAGTCAACTCCACTGAGATCCTTTGAACAGTTTTCGATTCGACAGTCTCACCAGCAAATTCTCTGTCATAAGCGGAAACTCCTAGATGACACTCTTAAGCTATATACATGTATCTGCTTAAAATCAATGAAAATTGCACTTTTGCAATTCAAATTTGAAACCACTTGCTGCCATGAAACTTATTAGGGATGGCATCTCTGCAACTATATTGCTGACTCACTTGCCTTTAAGTGAGTTGGCAATTAAAAGAAATGTTTTCAGGAGATTTCCAGTTGTCATTCGTTAAACCAATTGAAACAACGCCCGTGAAAAGGCGGCTTGTGTTTGTCATCCGTATTTAAGAGTTGTTAATCCTTATTTGTAAGATAACAAACAGGATTTCTTCAGTTATTGTCAACTTTAATTAAAGACACGGTTATATCCCTTAATCGAAGGAATATGTTCCCATGGCGACATGCATAGTTTTTCATACAACTGAAAAAATGGCATTTATCACTTTTAATATGCAATGACTTTCAAAAACATTCAAGAACGAGAATTTCAAGACTAGCTGAGACTACTTCTCAGTTATTGAACATTTTAGATTCTAATTTGTGGAATATTAACCACAATTCACCACCAATTCTCACGGACTCATGCATCTTCAATCAAAGGTTAACCGTTAATTCAGTGAAGAATGCCGTCTTTCGCTGCTGCGGAAATGATGTAAAAAAATATGCAAAGAAAATATGTCGCACTCCAAACGTCTCGGAATGTCTTTCGATGCTGGTTCAGAATTAAATACAGTCGAGTTATCGTACTCGGTCGAACTGTCACGTGCATGGTAATCGATAACTGTACAATTTTATTTCCACATTTTTTCGGCCTGTTCAATCGCTTCATTTGAAAGTTTGAGGAGGAGGAGCTTGGACTCAACAGAGGACCTTAGACTCAACTCCGCGTGAGGAGAATAATCAAACAACTAGAGAAACAAACCATTATTGTTATGTTACACGTTGTCGGAAAACCGCTGGTCCTTTGATCGGATTTGTACAACTGAGCACAGTTTCTAGTTGTTAAAAATAATAACGATAATAATGATAGACAATCTTACTTACACGTCTCCGACGTCCTGTTATATGTCCCTTCTTTTGGTGCCTCTTCTTCCTCTGCTTCTTTCAAGTGGACAAGAATACTAGTGTTCTTTTGGAAATTTATTGGGGCTGCACGCGTTGATGGTAGAATATCAAAAGTCAAAGAAAGTGCCAGAAACAGCAGAGCTGAACCTGAAGGAAAGAAATCATTATGCGGTGTGAAGTCATTCCACCTATGATATGTTATAATGCCAAGTTACAGACTTAAATAAACAAGAGATTTGGGGAAAAAACTATACACATGATGCGATGAAATAATAACAACAAAAGGCCGCAACAATTTAGGATTAGTGGCGACTGGGGGAGGGGGTGGGGAAGGGGGAAAGTATATCATGGTTTTCGAAGATAATTTTCTGCTAGTGAATTGCCAACGAAGAGCGGGGGGAGGGTCGTAAGAATATTACAGAGCTTTTTGGGGGGATCAGGGAATTATTATCGTGACTTAACTAAACCACCCCCCCCCCTCCCACCCCATCCTTACCCCTCTTGAGGACCGTTCGAAGGAGTCCTAAGCTTCAATCAATTAATAAGATCGATTTGTTACCGGTCTTGCTAACGCAAATATGTTTTCAGAAAAGGAGTTTTTCAGGATCAGGCTTAAAAAGAATTGTCGTTGCTTTTCGAAATCATGGCTGAAGACAACACACAGAAGGATCTATCGTTCGGCTCCCTAAATTCTGATTGTTAGCGTGTTAATCGATTGAAACCTGTCTTGCGTCTTACGATTTGGTAGATTTCATGGAACGATTCTGTTTCCGTAAATATCGATTTCTACCAGAATAAATCGATTTTTAGGCAAATAAAGAATTAATTTCGACGCTTACGGCCTTAACTCAGCGAAAATCTCTGCAGGTACTGATTTGTCAGGAGACCATTTTCAAAAAAACCTAAATATATGTGTTGATCATGCCATTGACCAGACACTACCTTGCAATTCCTAAAGCAGAAGCAAACCTTAAACTTAATGTGCTCATCACAAGGAAATCTTAAGATTGAAAAGATTGATCAAGCTGATCAAGTTTGGAAATTGAATTGTAGAGAACTCAGAAAAAGATAAACAAAAAAAGTCATGTGTTACCATGAGCATAAAAGT